TTATAATATGAACTTGTATTTTTTCAAATACTATTAAAGTTGTTAGTCAGAATAAATCACAATAATATAAAAATAAACAACTTTCAATTTCAAATACACTAAAACTTTTAATAATTAGATTAAACGGTATCATAGAAGCCCTCAACTGTGGTAATATAAACTGTTTTTCAAAAGTCGGTACTGAGGTGTCCCGATTTTTTGCATTTATTTTGTTTATTATTTTTGGGAATCGTTTTTTTGTAATAAAAATCACTTATTTTTTCCAAGTAAAAAAGAGAAAAACAGTCTTCAAAAAATATTTTTTTACTTGAAGAATTTTTAAGCATTAAAAAAATCCATATAAAATTTGAAATAACGGGATTTTTGTTTCTAATAAACATGTGAATTGTCCCAAAAGTGCATTTTAGTACAAAAGCAAATAAACTTAATGTCAATTTTTTTCATTATTAAACATTTTAATAATTAATAAAATATTTACAAAACAAGAGCTGGGTTCGAAGATTAGTATGCTTAATAGTGTTGTCACAATAACAATAAAAATTACAAAATGATTTGATAACTTATCTTTGTTGGTTTTTATAAAGTCGACATTCTCTTTGAGCATTTAGTGAGAACATCATTTTTAAAATATTCCATAACAGAACAATATTGTTCTATCATTTTATCGTCTTTTCTTGTGTTGTTCTTTGACTTGGTCTGTCAAAATTATCAAACATTTGCTGTAATTTATTTTTTGGTGTTTTTGGAACTCTTTATTTCATTATTTTTTATTCAGAATAGAAAACCACAGTTTGTTTTAAATTTCAATTAAATTTTAACGAGAGTAATATTCATTTAAAACTCGACACAAACAACAACATCCCGATTTATTTAAACGTTAATTGTTGTGCTTTTAGGCCAACAATACTGTGTATATGTTGCGAAGTATCGAGTTTAGGTCAAATCAAATAACGGGATCGGGTTTTTTGGAAAAGGCTGGCTAATATTCCAACATTTTCCCGAATTTGTACGAAAATAATTGAACAGGATTGGTATTTTTTTCAAAATAAAGTCGGTACTTTCGTTTTTTTGTTTTTTATTTTTTTAGGAAAAAACGAAAATAAAAAACGGGACTTTAGGAAGTTTTAAAAATATGACAGTACCGACTTTTGAAAAACAGTTTAATTATTTTTCCTTTCCCCTTAATAAGTGTTTTTAATTTTGATTAATTCAAACTTCTCTTAATGATGGGGATTTTCTTAATGGGGGACCCACTATTAGTAAGTCAGATAATATATTGACTATTATCCGATGTTCAAGTGCATTGAAATTTATTTATGAATACAATTAGAAATATTTGTATTAATTTATTCATTTTTTATGAAAAAAATCATTACAACATATTTATTCAAACCAAATAATTAAATTCTCAATAAAATATTAATTAAACTATATGTTTTACAATTTATTATTAAAAAGGAAACAGAATAAACAAAAACGACGTTAATCAATCATGGTTGTGTTTTTCTGTTTCAATTTAAATTTTAAATCTTAAACAATTTACTTAGCTCAATTATTCATTTTAATTATTTCATTTTAAATAACATAATATGTTTTTCAAAAGTAAGTACCAAACGTATTTTTCACATGTTTTATTGTTATTAATCCCAATTATAATCAATTCAGTTTACATTGTTTTTATTCTAAAATTTTGATTTTTATTTTTCAAAAACAAATTTGTTTTATTTTTTGATATAAACTAAGAAAAACGAAAAAAAATACATTAAAATATTAAATAATTTGCTTGATGAATGATTGTTTTAGCCAAGAAAAAACATTGATTTTTGAATATAAAAATGTTTGTAAATATTATTTCAAAACCCAGATTTATCAAATATATTTTTAACATTATAAAAAACGTTGAAATTATAAACCTAAAAAGTGAATTGCTTGACATTTCAACGTTTTTTTTCTGAAAGAAACAACCAAAAATAACATTATGTTAAAACAACTTCGATGTGTAGCGTGCAACAATGGGAGTGGTCTTTTCACACTTTTCGAAGAATCATATATAACCACTAGTAAATATACCATTATGATATTTTTTTGTAATGAAAAGACTTGATAACAACTTTGTAAATATGTTGGATTTGTTCTAATTTTTCTTTGAATTTCTGATAATTTAATTGATTTATTAAAGTGTCTTTGTTTTGAAGGTCGAAAGTATGTACTGTTTTTTCTTTTTAGAAACGAAAACATTTTGTGAAAACAACGAAAAAAATTGAAAAAAAGGGAATTAAACTATAATATGTATCCTTTAAAAATTGTTTTAGTACCGACTTTTGATAAACATTTTATTAACACAAATTGATATACAGTATGACAAATTTGACTTAAAGGACAAGTTTGGATTAGATGGTACACGATCTAGTTAAATTCATTGATAATAAAAAAATAACTAATCAATGACTTTTTCTATTAATAATTATTATTTGTAGTAAATCATATTTACTATTATTATTAATATTTAAACTATTTATCAAACCTACTTAAAGCAAACTTGTTTTTTAAGTCAAACTTGTCTAACCGTCTGAAGGAGTTATATTACTTCGAAACCCAATTTGTTGAGATATTATTTATCAAAGAGTTCAATATAACATAATACATTTATATTATTTCATCAATGTTTTAAAGCAAATTAATCAAATTTATTATTCTTCATATTAAACAAATTTGCCATAAAATGATATTATTTTTTGTTGGTTCACATTTTTCTTAAAATAAACCAAACTTTCAAAAACATGTTATAAATTAAACATAACCCTGGAATATCCCGTTATTTTCCTTAACAACAATTTCAATTATACAAAATCATAACAAACCTAAACGTAATTAGAGAATCTTAGCAATATATAGATAGTAATTTGAGAACTGAAAAAAGACAAAATGCAATCAAACCTATTTTCGTCCTCTTTTAAGATTGAAAGGTATCCCTCTCAACCTTCTCCATTGTTTGTGTCAAAAGTGCAAACAGCCGATAAAGGATTAAAAAATCCATGTCGACCCAATCTCTCTCAAAGCGAAATACAAACAAAAATTAAAAAACAAAAAATACAAAAAACGAGACAATCCAAAACAGCTAAAAATACCGAGAAATTGGGGAGGAAATATTATTTAAGAAAAAATACGGATAAAGTAGCTTCTTCTTTAATTTCACAACCCGAAGACGCGCTCTCTGAGACTGAAATTGATGAGACCGTCTTCTTAAAAACAAACGAAAAATTTACGAACTTAAAAATAGAAAACGAACACCTTCCGACCACAGAAAGTCAAACGGAACAAATCATAAAAACAGAAAAAGAAGAAAAAGAAAAAAGTAGAATGTTTCTTTCAGACAAAATTGGAATGCTTTATAATCAAATAAGAAGTCGTGATATCAATAATGGGTTGACTACTTACTTTGAAACACAAAAGAAGTCCGGGTGGACGATAATCGATTTGATGATATTTAAAGTGGTCGGTCAAAATGGGATTTGCGGCATCGAAGAGTTGGTTGGTGACGATAAAATCAAATACTTCTTTTACACAAATGGCATCACCAAAGAGAATGAAATTCGGTGGACGTTGTATGGCAGAGTTGAATATCTTCGAAATGTTATTGACAATGTGTTGCAATAGATTATACAATAAAAATGACTTATTTTAATTTTCGTTGGAATTGGTTAGAAATTTAAATGATATTTATTAATAAGTGATTAATATATATGTAAAGTTTGATGTCATTCAATAATAATAATAAAATGTAGGTATCAACATTTATACAGATATGTCATATATTTCATCAAAATTTTAAGTATAAATATTACGATATTATCTCAAACAATTAAAATATAAAGTGATTTATAACTGAAAGAATATCGATATCAATGCAAAATTTAAAAGAAAATTTCAAATTTATTGTTGTTTAAAATATGATCATAATATGTTACTCCTTTTTAGAACAAAAAAACGATTTGAATAATATTTAGTTGAATTTGTTGAAGGAGTTGGTTAACAATGATTATCCAAAATTTTTGTTTTTAAATATAAAATATTATTTTTTGTTTTAACTAATTGTAAGACGACTTGGGGTTTTGAAAATTATAAAGGTTTGGTATTGGTATTTTATCAATTTAAGTTAAGTATTCATTAAAAAAAGTTATTCAAAGTTTCAATAAATGAGTGATATTGTCGCTCTTAAAGTCGCAAATAAACAGATTTATTAAATGGATAGTGTAAAATATACACAATTAAAATTAAAATAATATAACACCTTTAAAATGATTAAATTAAAATTTTATTGAATCTAAACAAAATGATATTTTTCATCTTTACAAAAATAAAAAGAATCAATATTTATTTGTAGTATTTAAGATTAACAATTTATCAATGTCAATCATTAAATTTATTCTTGATTGCTTGAAATATAAATCAGTAAATCCAATTGAAATACATTTTATTTGATAAATAAACACAATATTGTTTATATATAAAATCGTGTTTTAAATTATTTTAATACTGTAAAAAGAGTTTACTTGTTGTTAATCCAGCACAAAAATATATCCATTTGTCGGATTTGAATGAATTTTTTAAAAAGTTCATTTTAATATTTATTTTTTTATAAAAAAATGGTTTTAATTCAACAAAAATTACAAATTCGTAAAAAACATTTAATTGTGTGCGCTAAAAATTGGCCAGTTGTGCTACTAATAAGCAAGTTCGACAATTAAGATAAAGCGCTTTTGACGGTATTTCGAAAAAAACAATACAATGGTTGTTTATTAAAATTAGTAAATACAGTAAAACCTTCCAAGAGCGGTACCCCTGAAGTTAGTTCTTTCAAGAGCGGGCATTTTAGATTAAAACTATAAATAGAGTTCCCTAAAGAGCAGTATTTAAGGTTTGATTGTCAATCATAATAATTAAAAACTGTTTTATCGATTTAATAAAAAAAATAACAATCAATAATTCAATACATTCATTTACTTCTCAAAAACGGTTTTGTCCTTATATTTTTCTTCAAACCACCTGTGGACATACCTCATCTCCTTTTCAAAGTATTTATTATTCATATCGTCGTTCACACCAAGTGCATATGGTTCCGTCTCAATTGCAGTTATTTTCTGCTTAACATTCCAAGTGTGATTATCATTCATCATTAAAAATAGACACTTGTTGTCTTGAAAAACATATTCACCAAGTCCTTTAGACAACACGTAATTCCCAAACATAAACGCCCAATTTGTGCTGTCCCACCTTCTCATTTTCGTATTCCTCTGTTTATAAAATTCGTTATAAAATATCTGTTCGACATCTTTTAATATACTTTTTCTGAACATGTGTGGGGTGTGTGACATGACCACGTTTTTGTAATTTTTATTCTTTTCAAAATACCTGTTGATGAGTTTGTTCGAGTAAAATAAACAGCTCCAAAATTGGTTTCCTTTGAGATTTTTGTTAACATTTGGCACTATCTGTTCCGAGTGTATTATGAGTTTGTCTCCTTTAAAGTAAAAGTCTGGTGGTGTTGGTCGATAGAAGAAAAAGTCGTCTCCAAGAAAGACAAAGCACTCGGACAAGTTTGGGATTTTGAACAAATACGATTCGATTGCTTCTGAATTGAATGTTGGCAGAATTGTGTTATCAATGAGGTCTTTGTGTGGTATCACCTCAAGTGTAATCCCATTTTTAACAATCCTGAAATGCGTCAAATTACCGGGCGACTCAATGAAGTCGGGGACTTGGTCGGCGGTCACTAAAAAGTGGTTTTTGATGTATGGCAAGTACTTTGAGACACTTCTCATTGAATATTTCAAGACTCTTGAATCCCGATATCTGTTGATGTCGATTTTCTTTGCGTATCGATTCAAACTGGAACGCCACTTTGGATCACTGCCATTCACCCATATCCACACAGCATCGATGCGACCATTGCACATCTTTGGAATGTCATACATCTTTTGCATGTCAATTTCAGTCTGATTTAGTGGATATCTATTGCATTGGGAACATTTTGAAAGGGTTTCTTTATACAACTTTTGCTCATCAATTAAATCTTGTTTTCCTTCTGTTTTGAATTTAAAAACATCATCGTTATCGTCATGTTGTTCAAAATGTTTATCAGGATAGTTCTTGTTGTATTCTTTAAGTTGTTGTTCTGTAAAAGTTGGAACAGCATCTTGATTGTCAAAAAACGGATTTTCTCCATTAACAATCGCTTCAACCCCTTCTTTGTTTTTAAATGTTTCTTTTGAAAGATAATAAGTAAAGCTTGACTTTCTGTTCACAAACAAAGGCACGCCAAGTAGACAAAATGACGATATAAAAACAATGAATACCCACAAGTTAAAGTAATACAGTTGGTTAATCATTTGTAAATTCAAAGATTTGTTCCTGAATTTATAAACTGTATTTTTTCGCTTTTTATTCATTGTCTTCTTTTCTTATTTTTATTATTAAAAAATAATAAATATAAATGGAATAACACCCTAATTATGAATCGACTTTTTAAATTTTTTTTAATTTGTTCTATTTATAAAATCAATTTCAATTTTTTAAAATTAAAAAATCTTTTAATTTCATTTATTTTTTGTTATTTGAAGATTTATTTTTTAATATAATTTGTTGTATTGTATTAATATAGATATTATAATACAAATTAATTTATTGTATTATTACATCTGAATAATAATTTAAATTTTTTTTAAATTCCATTCATTCATTCACTCATAAGTCTGTAATTTTCAATGTTGATATAAAAATGATATTAATTTTTTTCACTGCTTTATCCCATTTAATATACACTTAATATATTGAAATAATTAAATGTGTAGTTTTGTTTACCATAAAGGTTAAATATGCCCAGTGATGTTTTTTTCTGTTCGAGGTGGTAATTAGTAATATACATTTTGTTGTAATATAATTATTTACTACTATAAAAACGAGAGAAAAAAGTTAAGAAGATTGAATATATTTTTATTCAGAATATAATTTTAAATTTGTATAGTAAAACTACTATATAATATAAAAACAATAAATAAATTTTAAAAATAAAAACATTATAATTTATTTTTAGGGTTTTTATTTTTATCCAATTTTTCGTTTTTTTGTTGTTATTTTAAATAATAAATAAATAACTACTTTTAATATTTTTTATAAACTGGATATAGTATTTGTATTCTTTTTTTTCTTTGAATGGTTTAAAATTATTTTTTAATATTAACACTCAAAAACGTGTAATACAGTCAAAGGCGTCTATTTGTCGTAATTATAATTGTCGAAGTTGCTTAATTGTCGCACAACTGGCCAATCATTTTGGTGTACGACAATTAAATATTTTGTTCTCGAATTTGTAACTTTTGTTGAATTAAAACCAAATTTTTTATAAAAAATAAATTTCATTATTAAATAGAATTTTCTACAAAATTCACTCATTTACGACAAATAGATATTTTTTTCTGCTGGATTTACGACAAATAGACACCTTTGACTGTAATTGGATACAGATCCCAAAAAAACTGACCGGCAAACTATAAAAATGGTTTCTGAAAACCATTTTATAGTTTTTTTAATAAAAATTTGAAAAAAAAGACAAAAAACAAAAAACTATAATGTACTATAAATTATACTATGCCGGTCGGTTTTTCTGTGCCGGCATGTTTTTCTGGGATCTGTACTTTAATAATTATTTAAGTCATTAGAGTCATTCAAACAACGTTGTCCTTTCTCCAAACGTTGTCCCCTTCGATTTTTTCGATGCATTTTCTTTTTTATTCGAAATAAATTCAAAATAAATTTAAAACCGCCATGCAACAAAATAATTTTTTTGTTTTTTTTATTTTAATTTTTTGTTTATTTTTCAAACTCAATAACAAATCAAAACAAAAAAACAATAAATTTCAAGATCATTGTTATTTTTCTGAACAGAAACGTTTTCAGATAACCATCGCAAAAGGCTGCGTTTGATTAGAAAGAACTTTAAAGGCGAGAATGTGTTACAAAGAACATATATAGAATTGTAAATTGGATAGTAAGACCAAATTTACGTGTTTCAGGTGTGTATAGCATACCATTGTATTGAAGACTGTTGACAACATTTGAGTGTGGTTATGACACCAATTCTATATGTTAGTTGCTTCTTAGCTCCTTGTTATTAAACATCAAATTTCAAACACACAAAGTCTTATGTTTTTTGTGTTCGCTGAACCCATTTAAATTTTTACCCTTGTTATATATATTATTAACGATTGTTAAATTATAGTTTATATAATTTTAATTAACGAGTATAATATATAAAAAATTTCTTTGTATTTTACAATAATTTAC